GGTCCGGGCTGGGGATTCGAACCCGCCACCTTAGGTGTACGTGGCTGGCGCCTTAGCTAGTTGAGCTATAGGCGCCGAGCCAGAAAGCTGAGTTTTTATCCCACTTTCCATTTTGATGCAGCATGAGGTCCATATTATTATTAATACCTACTCTTTTGTGAATCCCCACTAAGTACCAGTTCTATTCTTTCTGCACACAGATGATTTTACCACAGTAATGATTTCTAAAGCCTCCGTAACAGGTAGTGATAAACCTTGCTAGTAGGGAAAAAAACCTCAAGGGGACATAAAAAAAGTTTATGAGAAGAGTTATATGGGAAAGGTGTTAATGAAAATCTGGAAAATCTGCTTCTTACTGAGAAAAAAATAATTACTTTCTTTAAGCCCTAGATGATTCTCCTTTAGGAATCTCTCTCTTTTTATTCTCTGTTCTTTTTTTTTTTAATACACTTTTTCTTTCAATGTTCTTCAGTCCTCTGGTCCATTCCTTTTTTATTCTACCTTCTCCTTTAGTTCTCTATCAGTTCTACTAGGCTTTGGTATGAGTATACAAAAATATTCTGTGACATATATGTATTTTTTAATATATAAATATTCAAGTGTATGTGCAAGTATGTACTGACTCCCATTCCCTATGTAAGCATACTGCTTATTTTTTTTATTTTTTTTTATTAAATCATAGCAATGTACATTAATACTATCATGGGGTACAGTGTACTATTTCTGTATACAATTTGAAATACTTTCTTCCAACTGGTTAACATAGCCTTCATGTCTTTTTCTTAGTTATTGTGTTAAGACATTTATATTCTACATTTAGAGAGATTCACATGTACCCTTATAGGATGAACCATAGCCATCATACTGCTTTTTTAATTTAAGAAATGAAGATAATACTATTTAGCCATGAAGCTAAATAAAGTGTTTAGATTTAAAATAAACCATTATGATTATATAAAACATGTTGCCAGCCTTGATTGAAAGATACTATGAGAGACATAGTATATGTTTAAAATAATACTTTTTTGCATTAACCTAGAAATTTAGTGACTTTTTCACTATTAAGTCTAATGTACAAAGTTCCCTGTAGACATGCATGTACATCTTATCCTGCTGAGAGAACGTGGAAAAGTGAATGGTTCTTACAAAATCAAGGTGAGGTGAGTACTCATTTTCAAAATTGAGCCCTTGATAACTTTTCACTTTTAAATTGCTTGTCCATGTTTAGGTGATACTTATTCTAGAAATTATCAGTTAGTAGGATATGAAGCTGTAAGGAAGATTTGATAACAGGTTTTAGAGACCCTCGAATGCCATTCTAAACTGTTTAGATTTATTCATTAGGCATTGGAGTGCCATTTAATTTTTTTTTTTTTTTTTTTTTT